AGGTGGCAGCATGCAGTGTGTCGGAGCTGGGCTACCTTTAGGGCATGGTTGGAAGCTCACAAAGGGTGAGGCCCTCAGGTATAGGGCCAAATTCTCTGGACGCACGTGCAGGGCAAGTATAGGGAAGGAAGATGCAGGCAGGGTAGAGACTTAAGGACAGGGGCAAGGGTGGGCCAGAGTCCAGACCAGTGGGTGCAGGGAGAAAGGCTGATCAGGGATCAGCTGGCCCGATGCAGGGTGCGCCCGAAGCACGTGCTCGCTGCCACCTCCGCAGCCCTCATGCCTGGAACAGTGTGGCCACCTCCATCTCCACGCCCTTGCTGGCTGCCAGCTTCCCAAGTTGGCAGAAATGGGGAGTCCTTCAGCTCATATGCCCAAAAAAGGGCATCTTCTCTGCAGGAGGAAGGTTGGCCTGGCATTTCTCTCCCCCCACCTGAGGTTTCAGGTCCCCAGGGAAGTGGCTCTCCGAACACAAGGCTTTTTCTCACACATACGCACACCCAGGTCATACTGAGCAGGGGACTCACCCGCCACTCTGTTCTGACGTCAAGAGAGTCTTGTGGCTCTAACCACCACGGTCACCACCTGTCTAAATTGTTGGCATGATGTAGGGAACAGGTCCCATCTGCCGCTCATTTCATTTCTCAGAAACTACCCAAATCTCCACACCTCTGAGGTGCAAAGAGAAAGCTCTGGAGTCCCAGTGGGGTTGAACTGGGGTAAGGTGAGGTGCAGACACCCATTTAGTCTTTACTTAAAATATTCCTCCTAGATTGCTCATCTGGCTTTTCATGTTTGCGTTAATTTTACTGTAAAATATTGTGTTAAAAATGTGATTTAGGAAGGCTGGGTGTCTCAGTGGTTAAAAACGCTTGCTGCAAAATCATGGGAGCTGGAGGTCCAGTCCCCAGAATCCACATAAATGCTAAGTGGGCATGGCAACACTCCTGTAATTCTGTCATCACAATGTGAAGACAGGACCCAGAAAAACCAGCTAGCAAGACTCTGGGTTTGGCTGAGAGACCCTGTCTCATCGAGTAAGATGGATTCCAAGCAACTAGGATGATTCCCAACATCTATCTCACATATGAACTTATACACGTGTGCCTACACACATGCAGAACATATATATATGTGCACATGGCACACATGTAAATGGAAAAGAAGTAAAAAGTAAAATAAAATATGATTTGTCTTGTTTCCTGAGCTCTTTGGGCATCTGAGTGTCTCACATCACCTGAACTCACAGAGCCGAAGCTGGGCGGCAAAGTTTCTGATCCCCCCAAAGACTTGACAGTCACCATGAAGCTCCTGGATCACGTGTGCACACGGGTGCCTGTGTGTGCACCATTGGCTTGGGGAGCTCCTGGATCGTGTGTGTACACGGGTGCCTGTGTGTGTGCACCATGGCCTGGGATGCTCCTGGATCATGTGTGCACACGGGTGCCTGTGTGTGTGCACTATGACCTGGGAAGCTCCTGGATCACATGTGCACATGGGTGCCTGTGTGTATGTTCACTTTCGTGAGACAAACAGCAGTGAGACTGTGTGTCCTGGCGCAGAAGGCAGGGTCTGAGGACCTGACCTGTGTGAGTTGGAGAGCAGACTTCACTCTTCCTTGCTGTGTGGAAGGCAAGCCTCTGGGTAGAGCACGGGCTCTAGTTCCACAATGCCGCCACTTCCTCATTGCGTTCCTCAGGTTGTTTATTCTGTTTCTTCAAGCCTCCAGCCCTATGCCTGACTGGACTCCCATAGTCCCCCAGCAGCCAGCTTCCACTGGCCCTCCATTGGAACTCTTCTTGGACTGTTTCCTTGGACTCTATATGCCCCTTCTGGGCACACCTCACAGCTGTGACCAGATACTTCTGCTGCCATGTGACAAGGCTGAGCTGCCTTCTCCAGTCAGGGTGGTCAGCTCCAGTCATATATGACATTCCCAAACCGTTATCAAGCGTACAGAATTTTGGGTCAGGGTCTAAAGTGCCAACTTCCACATTGCTTGACTACCCTTCAACCTATCGGTGCCTCAGTTTCCTTCTGTGTAAAATGGGGAGAGTGGAACACTGGCTTCCTAAATCATTCTCATGACTAGTGAGCATCCCTTTGCAACTCCTTCCAAACAGGGCCTGGCATGTTTGCAAGCAGGGCTGTTACTGAGGTAGGCATTGTTCTTCAGCTAGTCATGTTAGACTGTGCCAACAGCTGATACAAATATCTCTCCAATGTCAAGCATGTGACATGTGACATGACAAATGTTTAGCGTTTGTTCTTGTAGCATTCCAGAGTGGGACGGCAAGAGGAGTCTTCCTTCCACACGCTGACTGACAGGCTCAGTTCCTCCACTCTGTTTCTTCTAACAAAATATTTTTAGTTAAAAAATTTATTTTATGTGTAGGAGTGAGCTATCCGCCCAACAGGGCGTGGTCAAGGTAAAGATAAAAGGAAACGAAAGGAAAAGGGGCTTCCCTTTTTTCTCCTGGAAGCCAGCCACGCTTCTGACTCCTGGTCAGTGCGACTTTATGTGTGTGGGTGTTTCGCCTGAATGTATGGGCACCACGTGCGTGTCTTGCCCATAGAGGTCAGTAGAGGGCGCCACATCCCCCAGGACTGAAGTTATAGATGGTTGTGAGCTGCCATGAGGGTGTGGGCATTGAACCCGGATCAATTCCCAGCACCAGTACTCTTAACTATTGATCCACCCAGCTCTCCAGCTCCTCTACTGCTCTTCTTACAGGCCACCAGGGATGCTGCAGACAGGATTCGGGGGGGGTCCATGTCCCTAGAAACATGGCCTGAGGTGGCAGTTCCCGAACTAGTGAGACTAAGAGAATGCTCTCAGGAGAGAGGGCTGTGAAAAGCAGACAGGAAAGGAAGGGGCTGCAAAAGCCTGGTCTCAGCTTCAGACCTGTTTGGTCTGAGCACGGTGGACTGTGGGGTGGGGACCGCACCGTGGGGTTTTGATGGTCACAGAGGCAGTGGGGTGGTGTCATCCAGGCTGTTGGAGGCTCTCTGGGGCTGGGGACATGGCATTTTCACTTTGAACACAGTAGCTTTTTCTATTGCAGTTCTCTGGGGTAGCATGGAGTTATGGGCAGCTGGCATTCACGGCAGTTAGGACAGGTGTATTTGCTCCGTGAAGGGACTGGGCCAGGAACTCAAAGTGTCTGTGCACATGTGAACTGAAGTTTGGTATTTCTTTCAGTTCTGGGATAGGTAGTAGCTGTACCTGTGACTTTGTCTCTAACAGAAATCACAAGTTTGGTTTTCCTTCCTTTTTTTTTGTGACACAAGTGCTAGGATTATACACGAAAGCCACCACATCTACTATACTCACTTATACTTTTAAATTGTGGTGATTAGTAGACCTGATAGATATTTTTAGTGTTGGTGACAAAGGATATGCATTATCATATTACACATTTGTTCTTTTATTTATTGTTCATTGTGTGTGTGAGCATATGAATACAGGTGATCAATAGTCCAAAGAGGGTGTTGGATCTCTTGAAGCCAGAGTTACCAGCAGCTGTGAGCCACCTAATGTAGGTACTAGGAACCACACGTGGGTTGTCTGGAAGAACTATATGTTCTTCTAGTCATTGAGTCATCACTCCAGCCCCACAGATTTGTTCTTTTAACTATTTTATTAACTGCATCAATTTAGCTGTAGTTCTTCACAAACCCATATACTTTGCATATTTTAACACCTTGGTAGAGCCTTCATCCAGTAGCTGATGGAAGCAGAAGCAGAGATTCACAGCTAAGCACTGAGCAGAACTCCTGGAATCCAGTTGTAGACAGGGAGGAGTAATGAGCAAAGGGGTCAGGACCATGTTGTGGAAATCCACAGAAACAGCTGACCTGAGCAAGAGGGGCCTCATGAACTCCAGTCTGACAGCTGGGGATCCAGCATAGGACAGAACCAGACCCATTGAACGTGGGTGTCAGTTGGGAGGCTTGGGCAGTCTATGGGGCCGCTGGTAGTGGAACCAGTATTTATCCCTAGTGCGTGAACTGGGATTTTGGAGCGCATTCCCTATGGAGGGATACTCTTTCAGACTAGATACAGAGGGGAGGGTCTTGGTCCTGCCCCAAATGATGTGACAAACTTTGATGACCCCCCATGGGAGACCTCACCATTTCTGAGGAGTGGATGAGGGGTAGGATGGGGAGATGGTGGGGAGAGTGGGAGGATGGAAGGAAGAGAAAACTGGAATTGGTATGTAAAATAAGATTGTTTTAAATTTCAATAAAAATGAACAAAAACCTTGTCGATATTATTATTAGTATTGTGTATTTATTTGCATGGATGTCACAGGACAAATCTTTGGGGTTGGTTTTCTCCTTCCACCTTTACATGGATTCGCAAGATTGAACTCTAGTCCAGGCTTGCTTGGCAAGTACCTTGCCTGTCTCTTATTTTGTGTAATTACAAACATTCTTCTACCAGATGTGATGGTTTTAATCCCAGCACTTGAGAGGCAGAGGCAGGCAGATCTCTGTGTGTTCAAGGCCACCCTGGTTTACACAGCAAGCTCCAGGCCACTCAGGGCTACATGGTGAGACCCTATCTCAAGAACAAAACAAAATGTTGTCTGGAAAAGGAGTCCACAGGCTTCATCAGTCAGTCAAAGGCAGGAGAGAGAGTATATGACATGAAAGAGGCTAAACACCATGTTCTGGGATGGTAGCCTCTTCTGTATTCAGCCAGCCACAGGGGAAAGGGCTTTATTGATTAGATCTGGAAATAACACATCAGGTCTTCCCAGAATGCACTGGAAAGAATCTGACCATACCTAACTGTAAGGGAGGCTGGGGAATGCAGTCTATGTATACCTAGAAACTGGAGGACTGGGCTAGGGAATGCCCAATAGTCTGGGTCAGGGGCTTGTAATACTCATTGACATCCCAAGTGAGAACTTCTGTCCAGGGTATCTTGCTGTGTCTTAGAGAGGATGGGCATAGGGCTAGATCCTAAATTTCCCACCATATTGTCTCCTTAGGACAAGCCACGCCAAAGCCAAGGCTGAGGCATCGGAACAGGCTTCCCTGGCTGCCAACCACGAATCCAACATTGCCCGTACGTTGGCCAAGGAGCTGGCCCCAGACTTCTACCAGCCAGGTAGGGCCAGCCACGGGTGGATTGGGCAGGGGAGTCCCAGGGTGGGTGCTTTTCCTCACTTGCTACAAGGTGGAGATGCCTAAGTGGGGCTCTAAATGCCTATGGGTGTGGTACAAACAGGAGATGTGGGATTCTTGGGGGTACACATCTCCACCTCTATGCAGGACTGGGCTGAGACAGCTGAGGCTCCGGGCTGAGGATGGGATCCACCCCAGTTGTCTCTTGTCCCTCCTTTCTGCAAGACAGATGAGGGGAGCCGGTGATGCTGAGATGAACGAGTCTCTGGGGCATGGGGGGCAGTCAAAGGGCTCTCTGTACCTTTTAAGAGTTTGTGGGGGCGTGGTTGGAACTTTATTTGGGCAGCCAACTAGCTCCCAAATAAAGGCACTGAGACTTAATATTAATTATGAATGCTCAGCCTTAGCTTAGGCTTGTCCCACCAGCTATTTTAACTTAATTTAACTTGTTTCTGTTCATCTTTATTTTGCCTCATGGTTCTTTACCTTTCTTTCATTCTGTATTTCCTACTTTCCTTCTCTCTTCATGTCTGGCTGGCTGTCCCCTGGCATCTCCTTTCTTTCTTCATTTTTCAAGCCTAAATTCCTCCTCCTACTTACTCTCCCTACCCAAAAGTCCTGATTATACCTCCTCCCTTGCTATTGGTTTTTTATTAGACCCATCAGGTGCCTTAGGCAGGCAAGGTAAAATAGCAACACATCTTTACATAACTAAATAAATGCAACATATCCTTAAATAGTCAAACAAACGCAACACATCTTTACATAGTCAAACGAATATTCTGCAAAAGCAGGGCATTGATCAGGTACTGCCTGTGTGTCAGGCACCATGCTGGGCTCTGGGGACATGAAGCTAGGACCCAGAATCAGAAAGAGTCACACAGACTCTTACGTTTAAATCCTTGCCTGCTCTTCACCAGGTTGTGCAAGGTGAATGGTGACACTCAGCTCCTGAACTGTGACATGGGTATAAGAATAGTGCCGACTTTCTGGGCGTGAACTAAGTGCATGTAAAGGCTGCAGTGAGCTCGCAGTGGCCGACGCTCCTCACGTAGTGGCCTACTGCATCTCACATAGAGAATGAGTTCTGACTGAGTGGTCAAACCAGGACTCCGGGCCCTAGCCAGGTCTGTGGGTCTGACTTGCCACTGTGGGCTCAGTCTAGAGTTCCTAACTTAGTGGGTCTGCGTGGAGCTGGTGAGTGATACGCATAATGACTGAGCATGTAGAACTACCCTTTGAAAGCCTGCACTGCACAGGCAGACCTTAGGCACATGGACCAAGAAGAGGGGGCTGCAGGTTCAAAGGCACAGAAATGAAATAGAGCGGCATGCAGGAAGCTAGATGGTATAACAGGAAACGGGGTGAGGTTGAGTGAAGAGACTCGGGAAGGGGACGCAACTGCGCTTGGCAGAGCTGCGCCGGCTGCTGAGCGCGGAGATCGGGGCTCTCCTCATCCGAGGGGGTTTGAGTGAGAAAAACGTTTAGTGCCTGGAAACATCATTCTGGCTGCAGCTCACCATCCAGAGTGATGCTTTGCCTGTGATGCAGGGGGTGCGGCTTCTTTCTGGTCACAGTGTTCCCCCTGCTGGTTACAGGAAGCTCAGCACTAGCTTCAGCCATTGCAAATCACTTTCGCAAGTAAACTTCCCAAAAGAATAGGATTAGGCCCATTTTTCAGACAAACGACTGGAAAGAGACCAGTTAGTCGCATCATCTTGGCCCTTTGCTGTGTGATGCTGGGCAAATGACTTAACGTCTCTCGGTCTCCTTTTCCTCTGTGTTCACAATCCCACTCACCTACCTAACAGTTATTGAAATCCACTCCTTCACACAGCCTGATCCTTGGTGCCGTGAGTGGTGGTCTAGTAAATGATCGCGGCTCACAGGGGTTACCTGTTTGGCCCAGGATGGCCCAGCAAGCCGTGGGTTCGAAGCCTACCTCTTTCTATTGTCCCTGGCAGGTCCTGAGTATCAGAAGCGTCGGTTGCTCCAGGAGATCCTGGAGAACTCAGAAAGCCTGTTGGAACCCCCGGAGCGGGGCGCAGGCGCCGGCCTCCCCGAACGGCCCCGGGAGAGCCCGCAATTGCATGAGCGCGAGACCCCGCAGCCTGAGGGAGGACCCCCGTCTCCGGCCGGGACGCCCCCACAACCCAAGAGGCCCCGACCCGGAGCATCCAAGGACGGCCTGCTGAGTCCGGGCGCCTGGAACGGTGAGCCCGGCGGAGAGGGCAGCCGGCCGGTTACGCCATCCGATGGTGCTGGCCGTCGCAGCCCCCGTCCAGCCTCGGAGCACATGGCCATCGAGGCACTGCAGCCGCCGCCCGCGCCATCACGGGAGCCAGAGGTGGCAATGTACCGTGGCTACCACAGTTATGCGGTGCGCACCGGCCCTCCCGAGCCCCCGCCCTTGGAGGACGAGCCTGAGCCCGAGGCCTCCGGATCCAACTCGGTGCCCCCGTCCCCCGCCTCTGCCACCGCCCCAGAGGAGCATCCCCCTGCACCGCGAAGTCCGGTGCCCGCCAAGCCCGCCACGCTGGAGCCCAAGCCCATCGTTCCCAAAGCCGAGCCCAAGGCCAAGGCGCGCAAGACAGAGGCCCGAGGGTTGAGCAAGGTCAAGAAGAAGAGTCGTAAGGAGGTGGCACTGGCGGCAGAGGCTGAGGTGGAGGTGGAGGAGGTGAGGATGAGGACAGAGGCCAACCTCTGAGATCCTTGGGGCTCCAGGCGGGATTGTGAGTGTGTGTGTGTGTGTGTGTGTGTGTGTGTGTGTGTATGTGTGTGTGTGTGTGTGTGTGTGTGTGTGTGTGTGCGCGCGCGCGTGCATGCGCAGAGTGAAAGGTGTCTTAGGGAACTGGAGGCAGGACAGGACAGGGGCCAACTCCAGCAGTAGTGGTGCACTAGACGGAGAAGCAGTGGCAGGTGGGAAATTGAGCAATAGAGTGCATCTGTCGAGTGTGTGGCATTTGGCCAGGGTACCAGCCACCTCTCTGTTCAGGATGCAGCAGGGAGGGCTTCCTGGGGGTGGAGGAAGATACTAACAGGGCTTGAGTTCTGGACCTCTGTTGGAGTCCAGGAACCAAACACAGCAGCAGAGAGCAAAGCTTATAGTTAGGGAGGTGAGAGTTCCCGGCTGCCTTCGGTGTGGCTTGCCAGATGTCCTTTCCAGGCTCTAGAGAATTGGGTTAATTAGCTCCAAGAACTCCCCCAGCTCTCATGGTCTGGTGCAGACCAGGGTGCAGAGGCCAACTCTGAACAATCCAGGATGCTTTTAGGAAGATCCTTCCAGAAGCCCCGGCTCCTCTGCCTAGCCTTGTAACCTGGCTAGGAATGTGGGGGTGTCTAGTGGTCCTGGGGACTTAGCAGCCTTTCTTCATGCCTTCAAGGTACCCAACACTGTCCTCATCTGTATGGTGATTCTGCTTAACATTGGTCTGGCTATCTTATTTGTTCACCTCCTGACTTGACCCTCATCTACCAGGTAAGGCCAGAGTTTGAAGCCTGGGAGGCAGGGGGTGGGGCTTGGTACTTGGTACTGGGCATGATCTTGTGGGTCGGTAAAGCCCACCCCTTACTGTACATGTGTGATAAGCTTTGCACCCCACATTTATGTGCTCATACGCAAGTCGATCCCCCCTTTCTCTCTACTTTGCCCCACCCCCTTTAGTTGTCTGCCCCTCCACAGTTGGTTCTGTTCTCTCCCTATGGTAGAATTTAGGCTTAGGCTGAAGGACAGAGGCCCTCACTGTGCAGCCTTCCTCCTGCCCTGATCCCCCAAAGACCTTCTGCTTTAGTGTGGTTTAGTGTGACCTGGAAGTTTCTAGACAGCCCTAGGAGAGAGGAAGTCCTTGTTCTGTCACTGCATAATAACCAGTGACAGTTTTAGCCTGCGGCTATAGCTCTGGGGTCTAGTGCTGAGCTCTGGAGGTTCTCTGTGTCACTGGACACCTGGGAGACCTTTCTTCAGGCACTGATAACTCTGGGCTCCAAAGACCAGGAGAAGTGACTCCAAAGACAGCGGGGAAGGGATGGGGCCAGTGGCCCAGCAGGGGTGACCTGTCTCTGATTCCCTTGCAAAGTAGAGGCCTGGTGCCTGTCCAGCTTGTGGCTCAGCATGTCCCTCTGCTGACTGGTGTTGTCTCCCTTAAGGGCCAGGAGTGCCACTGAGGATGCCAGGACCTGTCTTTCTGCAATGCCAAGCAGGTGTCCCAGGAGGACTGGACTGTGAACTGAAGCCTTGTTCCACCCACTCCATGGATATTTGAGGAGGCCTCCCTGTGAGCCCTGGGTGCCAGGGTGCCTGAGGAAGAGAATGTCTAGGTACCCTCCAGCGCGAAGGATGCCCTGAGAGAAGGACCCTGGTCATCCCTAGCTTCCGATCTGCTCCTGTATCGTCCTCAGCCCTGCCTCGCCTTGCCCTGTCATCCTTCCCTGGGCTTTTGTGTGTTTTGAGAGATGCCACCTAAGCAAGATATTAATACAAATCTCTTCCTCCTATACAACCTCCAATCTAGTACTCTGGTTGACGGCTTGAGGTCACCCAGGAAGATGAGGGGCACAGAAGTCCCTTGGGTAGTGAAGGTGTGAAGACCCTGGGATGGTGCAGTCCTCCCCAGCCCACATTGATCCGGAGTTTAGAGAGCTCTGGAGGGCAGTGTAGGAAATGGAGAAGCCCAGTCGAATATACCAGTGTGCAATGCTCTGCATCCTCCCACCAGGCCAGTTGGCCTCCCCGAGGACCAGTGGCAGGGGAGACCTGAGCATCTGAGCCTTTGGCTGGGAAATCACCTCCAGGAGTCTGGGTGGGGTGGGAAGAAGGCAAAGCATGTTGGTGATGGCCCCTGGTTTTGAGTGTGTCTGGACCTGAGGCTGGAGTTCATTTGGGGTCACTGATGTGTCCTGGGTCATTGTATAGGAGCCCTAGGCCTGAGAGCTACAGCTACTGTGATGTATTATGAATTGGCTTATCTGCTGAGGGATCAGGGGAGCATGGTGGGGAAGCCTGTGGAAGGCAAGGGCTACATCCCTGGTGCATATTCTCTGGCAGAGAGAGGCTGGAGATAAGCATTATCCAGGAAGACAGGAGTCAGTCTGGACTCCAGCTGCAGGCTGTGCAATACTGAATTGTGCTTGGCAGGTTTACTTGCATGCACCTCACTTAAAGACGTTTGCACCACACTGCGTGTTTGGGCCCTTGGGCTTGCTGGGTGCAGCATGGCAGCCTAGGACTTGTGGTCTCCTATTCCCATGAGGATGGAAGGAAATGGTTCCCAGGGCCCCCCAAGTTTAGGAGGCAATGGCATCCAAGCTGAGTTGGAGAAAACTGCTGACACACTCTGACTTCATTTCTTTGGACCTCTCAGACTTGGGCATGGAAGCTGGGCCTCCTCCTAGAACAGACATGAACATGGATATTGGGGGGTCAGCTTCCTTTTCTTCTCAGTCCATGGGCATCTTCTCTTTGAGTGTCACGCTGGCTGTCCCCTGCACTGCTGGGGCTTGGTGACTTGGTTGGAATCACTTTTCTACAGAGAGGAGCCTGCAGATGTTCCTGTACCAGCCAGTGTGGGCAGGACTGTGCCTCTGGCTGGGTTTTCCTGGATTCTAGAGAATGGGGATGGGTGGGTGGAGGTTTTTTAGGGGTGACAGGACCCAGGCCTTGGATCTGAGGTCATTGCCGTACTCTGGGTCTGGTCCAGCCCTGGGGACAAGCTTGTGACTGTCGGAGCTATCAGGGTTGTTTTAGGAGGTATGTATGGTATGGGATGGGTTCAGAATGCCAAGTCTGTGCCAAAAATAAATCTGCATCTTCTCACAGCTCCAGCTGTGTTGTAGTGTCTGCTTGTGGGTCCAGAATGAGGGGTGGGGGCTGCTGGGTGAAGGATACAGGGAGTGGATGGGAGATGGATACTATATCACCTCCTCTTTCTAAAGATGCTCACATAAAGCACTGGAGGGTAGCCAAGGGGCCTCCAGTCTGGAGAAGAGGCCCAGGACCATGCATCCCTTGTAGTCTTTTTCCAAAAGCTGCTCTGGTTAGCCTATGACAGCAGCAAGAGTCTGCCCTTTGAGATGGAGGCTCTCTGGACTCCAGTCCTGGCTTAGACATTCTGTGTATGGAGCCTCCATTTATTTATTTATTGATTGATCCATCTATAAAGTGGGGGTAACCCTGACTACCTCCTGGGGTTACCAGAGCACCACATTAAGGACTAAAAGGGTTCAGAGGGTTGGCTCAGTGGGCAAAGTGCTGTGCAGGCATGGGGACCTGAGTTCGGATCAACAGAACCCACAGAAGTGGAAGACAGCAACACACGTCCGCAAAGCTACCTCTTGGCACTTGATGGTCAGCCAGTTTCACTGAAATGGTACACTCCGGGTTGAATGAGAGGCTCTGTCTCAAAATAATATGGTGGAGAGGCAATTGAGGTAGATAGACATCTTGCTGTCAACTCCTGGCATCCATGTGTACCCACAAGGCAAGTGACCACATACACATCATTCTCTCTCTCTCTCTCTCTCTCTCTCTCTCTCTCTCTCTCTCTCTCTCTCTCTCTCTCTCACACACACACACACACAAGCCAAAGTTTATATAAAGTCTAGCTTATCTCATTGCTCTCACAGTGTTACACATGGTAACAGCCTCTTGCATTTTGATGGAGGGACCCCAGGAACCCCAAAGTGGTGGAGAGCCAGACCACCTAGCCGAAGTGAGAATGGCCTCAGGACCTCCAAACTTGTGACCCATGTCTGATTTGAAGGCACCCTGGGGATTTGTTCCCTCATTCTTTACTGATCCCACAGCCTGAAGATTGCTGAGCATCAGCTAAGCAATCACAGACTGTCTCACTGGGAGGCAGAGGCAGGTAGAGTTCTGTGAGTTCGAGGCCAGCCTGGTCTATAGCCAGAGCTGTTACACAGAAAATCCCTGTAAAAAAAACAATTAAAAAAAGAAAGAAAGAAGGAGGGACACTTATGGTTTAGCTGTGTTCGGCACCCTCCCCCGCCCCCAGAGTCCATATATTGGATCCACACGGGGAGGTGGAGCTGTAAGGTACATTGGGTCCATGTGAGATGTCCTAAGGACATTGCAGGAGCTGCCTTTGGGATTAGGGATTAAGTGAGGAAAATTTTGCAAGACCCTGAGCTCCTGTGAGAGGGAGTGATTACAAGAGCAGGACCAGCCTGGCATGGCTGTCTGGGCTTCCCCTGTGACGAAGTCATTCCTTTGCATGCCTTAACCGTGACACCATTCCCTGCCAGGTCCTCACCAGGTCCTCCCGCCTTGGATTTATGATGTCGAAATTTATGAGCCAAATAAAATGCTCTTCTTTAAAAAGTTAATCCACCTCAAGTATTTCATTATGGAAACCACAAGAAACTGAACTAGCTTGAGGCGCCTCAAAAAGCTTAAAGAAACTAGGCATGGTTGCATTTGACCACAACCCTAGCATTTGGGAGGTGGACAGAAGGGTCACAAGCTCCAGGCTAGATGGGCTTTATAAAGAAACTGGTCTCAAAAAACAAACTAACAAAAAAGCAAAAAACACAAAAACAACAAACAAACAAAATCCCTGAAAAAAAAATAAGGAAAGGAGAGAAAAGGACAGAAAAAGAAACAAGTTCTTTACGTCTTCAGGCTGTGGGTTCAGTAAAGAACGAGGGAACAGATCCCCATCAAATCAGACACGGGTCACAAGTTTGGAGGTCCTGAGGCCATTCTCACTTTGGCTAGTTAGTCTGGCTCAGGTGAGAGACTGGGCAACAGCAGGGAGCATACAGGTTGCAGAGTTCTCTATCCTGTCAGATGTAGACAAGACGATCCACAGCAGCTCAGCCCTGACTGGCACCAGTTACCTGTGATTGCATAATCTTAAGGTGTGGTTTAGATATGGCAACACAATGGCCAGGATGTCAGCCCCAGGGGACAGCAGAATAGAGTGATTGAGACAGGTGCAAGATGGGGTTAGAAATTTATTCTCATTCTCTCTCTCTCTCTCTCTCTCTCTCTCTCTCTCTCTCTCTCTCTCTCTCTCTCTCTCTCTCTCTCATGTGTGTCTGTGTGTACTTGCTATGAATGTATCCTGAGGCCAGAACATAACCTCTGGGAGTCCATTTCCTTGCTGTTTTAAAAGCTGGGGTCTCAGGCATCTTGGGAGGATATTGTAGGCAACAATGACTTGGAACTTCTGATCCTTTATCTTCTGCTTCCTCCATGCCGTTATTACAGGCGTGAGCCACCACACTTGGTTTTCACGGTGCTGGGGACCGGACGGGGCATTCTTGTGCAGGTTCGGCAAACACTCTACCAATTGAATGACACCCCCTGTTTGGGAGGTCAGGCTTTCATCCGGCGTCTACTTGCTCATTGGATGTTTTGCAGGTCTGTATGAAGAGTAAGTGCTCTGCGTGAACGTGGCCTCTACATCCTTTTGCATTAAAGATGGTTTTCTACAACTTTGGGAAACTGTAGCAGTTGACACTGAACCCTCATTGACTCTAGATGAAGAGTTGGAAACGCAGACAGGGAGAACCTTGGGACAGAGGTCTGACCATAAGAAAACAGTTGGGCTGGAGAGACGGCTCATTGGTTAAGAGCACGGGTCATTCTTCTAGAGGACCTGGGTTCAATTCCCAACACCCACATAGCAGCCCACAACTGTCTGTAACTCCAGTTGCAGGGGATCCAACACCCTCACAGAGACACACATGCAAGCAAAGCACCAATGCACATAAAATAAAAATGAATTAAGAAAGAAAGAATGCTGTCACTTCTGTCTCCATTGGAAAGGTTATTCAGTGGTGGCCCACTGACCCACCTCCAAGGCTTCCTCAACAGTTACTAGTGACCCTCCCTTCTGTCCTACTCTGCACTCCAGTTTTCATAAAGACATCTGGGACATCTCAGAATTTCTCTGCATACAGGCCCTGGAAGGTCTGTAGGGGGAGCTGGGAAGATGCTGGGCGACAAGTCATGTGGGCATCTTTTCACCACGTTCATCTGCCTCTGGCCAGCATCTGCATGACTTCTCAGCCACTCCAGTCTCCAGAAGCCCACCGACTAGTTGAGTAGTCTCTGGGAAGGAGGGCAGTTAGTGGCTCGTCTGGCTGATGAGGCGGGTTGTTGAAATCCGTTGGCCAGATTGTCTGCCTGCCCGGGAAGATGGTTTGGCAGCTTCTGCTGAAGTTAAACAGGCACCTACCCTATGATCCAGGATTCTCACTCCCACGTATTTACCCAAAACAAATGGAAACATATGTCCAAGAAGACACGAACAAGAATGTTCACAGTGACTCTGAGTATCCTGCCAACACTAGAAACACGTGTGACTGTCAACAGGCAAAGCAGAAAACACATGGCTCTGCCTAGCGTTAACAGATCCGCGGCGAAACAGTGAGGAGCAACGACAGTCGACAGGAAGCCACTGAATTAAGTGAGAGAAGCAGACGTGTAAACAGCATGGATGGTGATAGGAAATTCTCCGACGGGCACAGCCAGGCTGGAGAGGTTGCCTGGAAGGGGGTGGTGGTGGAGGTAGAGCAGGGAGGGATTGACTAGGAAGAGGGGTTAGTGAGTTTCTGTGGGGTGGTCATGCGTTTGGTCTGGAATGGTGATGACGCATGCGTTGGCCCAAATCTACCGATTTGTATACCTAAAATCTAAACATGTTAGAATAGATAGTTTAGACCTCAGGGTTTTTAAAAATTTCTTGAACAAGTTGGAAATAGAAATTAAGAACCTTCAATTTTTTGTGTGACTATATGGTGTGTGTGTGTGTGTGTGTGTGAGATGGTCCTTAGCTTCAGTTTCATTTAGGTCAGGGCTTGTTAGACGCTGCGGAGTCAGGCTGGCCAGCTTTCAGGCTTCTCAGGGTTCTGTTTCTACTTCCTGTCTTGCCGTTGAGTGCTGGGACTGCAGCTGGTCCTACTGTGTCCAGAGTGCTGGGATTGCAAATGGCCCTACTGTGTCCACAGAGTGCTGGGATCACAAATGGCCCTACTGTGTCCACAGAGTGCTGGGATCACAAATGGTCCTACTGTGTCCACAGAGTGCTGGGATCACAAATGGTCCTACTGTGTCCACAGAGTGCTGGGATCACAAATGGTCCTACTGTGTCCACAGAGTGCTGGGATCACAAATGGCCCTACTGTGTCCACAGAGTGCTGGGATCACAAATGGCCCTACTGTGTCCACAGAGTGCTGGGATCGCAGATGGTCCTACTGCGTCCACAGTTATGGCTAGTCCCACATCCACTAGTTGTTTCCATAAGATATCTGTTGTGAATAGTGCTACAGCAAACATCAGTGTGCAAGCTAAAACAACAGCCTAGGATCGTGTGAGGAGAGTGGAAGGAGGGCCAGGGTTGGGTGGGCGGGGACTTCTCCAGGGTCCCTGCAGTCTGCAGTCCTCAGGCCTGGCCTCTGGCACTTCATCTCCCAGGAGGGTTAGCCCGTTCCAGGGCAGGCCTTATATGTGGGTCCCTCCTCTGTCCCTTGGGAAGGGAACTCTCCTGGCAGTCACAGTAGGTACAGGTACACAGACAAGGCTGCTGGGGACAAGCAGAAGTAACAAAAGGATCATCACCACCCCACCCCCAGTGACCCAAAATTCCTCCTTTCTGGGAGGAAAATCTCTGGTAAATCCAGTCTTTCCTGGTCTGATTTCTAGGATGACATTTTAAGCACCAACCACCAGGGAGTGCTGTCATCCCACAGTCATAATTTTGGAGGGCATTTTCTGATTGAAAGAGAAATCTTGGTGGCCTTCCTACAATCCTGTGAAATCTCCGGAGTCTGCAATGATCTACTCTTCTTT